GAAATGATGTGGGACGTGTGCCTGGGATTGACGTATTTGCAAGCTGAGAAGCATAGAAAAACATCCAACCTGACTGAGCCATGAATATCAAGACCATCTTATGACAAGAACTCATGCTACTTCAAACCTGATAGTGTACAGTAATGTTGACGTATTAGTTCCTATCCTTTCAAAGTAGTTCCTCTTCTACAATATCGCATCTTCGTTCTTCAACTAGTACCTCTTGCTTTCTACTTGCCTGTTGTTTCTGATATGCCTTCTACCCAATGTCTTCAGCGTCTTCAGCGTTCATTACCATAGTCCATAAGCCTGCGTGTTCCTGGCCGAGGTCGATAATCAGTTCAGAGTCTAGTCCAACATGGCTTAATTGCCAAATAGGCCTATCTGCAGCATAATTGACAATGAGCGTACCTTGTTCTGCAACGTGCACACGATCACGTTATGAGTTCTTTAAGCACTGAATTCTTCTATGTTTACTTCATTCTCCAATCAAATACCTCTCACTCTCACCTCTGCTTCCCAACAGGCACCAAACCCCTCACATCGCTGTAGCGACGAATTTTCAATCACATTCACTTCCCCCTCAACACCAGATACTATATAAGCATGGCAAGAGCTCGCCTCTTCTTCCCTACCTTCTCTCCCCCATCCTATCCTCCCCGCGTCTTTCTTCCCTCTATTCCTACCTCGAACATACACACTGACACCTCATGTTTCGCTCTCTCCCAACCAACCCCTTCAAGTACTCCCACCGGGACCGTACCCCAGACCCAAGTACCAACATCATAATGTCATCTGCCTCGAGTCCAACCTCCTCCGTCAGTGGAACTGAAACTATGAAAGAACTTCTAGACCGTGGTGAGGTCAAGGCATCCTGGAGAGACAAACAGTTCGTTCATTTCCTGGACCTCAAGGAAGAGTACGGCCGTGAGTTTCTTGGTCTGGTGAAGGATCATGTAGAGCACAGCGGATTCGAATGGACCGAGATCCTCAACTCTGAGGACGAACGACACAACTGCGCTAAGAGTTTCGTTGAAGAGTATGGTCTGAAGTACTGGGGAACTCCAGCGAACAGAAAGAAGTATCTCCAGGAAGAATCCCTTGCGGATGAGAAGACGCTTTGCACTTATCCGGCTCAGAGTGAGGAGTAAGTTTCTCTCCTCTTCATTTACCTTCCATCCGGTTTTCTTCCTTTCTTACTTCGACATGCATTGCTCTCGAACGACTTGACCGTACTAATTATTGTATAGGATCGCTCGAACAATTACCATTTTGCTACTTAGGAAGGCGAAGAACTATTCCAGACTAAGTCAGGAGAAGACAAAGGTATGCGCTATCGCTTCCTTTTCCATATTATAGACGCTTTCTCTCAGAAATAACACGTTTTAAAGAACGTTCAGCCAACACAACCGGCCAAAGCACCCTTCGAAACGGCTAGTACCAAAAAGAGAAAATCTACTGTCAAGGAAACGGACGAGGAAGACACCGACAAGCCTGCATACAAGCCGCGGACCCGCAGTACTCCAAACACCATTCGACCATTCAAGGCAATCGTCTCTGACTCTGAGCCCGAGGCTGAAATCCTGAACAATACAGCGAAGAAGTCCAAGAAACAGCGCATATCTCTAGCCAACCGCTACATGGGAACCCCAGAGGTCCAATTGAAAACCCCCAACGGGAAAGAGAGTATATCCGCTCCAGTTCGGGGAACATTCGTGCACCGTGCTGCTCCTCACTACACAAAGGACACCAAGTCCCTGACCACAGAGAGCAACAGCAACCGTATTAACATGACTGACGCTGCTCCCCAGTATCCCCAGGCGAAGAACACCAAATCCCCTGTTACAGAAAGCAACAACCAGACCAATTTGACTACGTCTGAGTATGCAAAGGATACCAAATTCCTCGTCACGGCAAGCAACCAAGTAGGAATGGCTCCCGTGTGGCTCCCATTCATGGATTTCGCTGCTCAGGCCACGGACTTCCTAGAGCACATGGCGGAACAGTGCAACGTGATGGAGTGGAGCCCCTCAGCGCAGTTGAAATGGGATTCCATGTCGCCTCAGGTTTTCGCTGCGTCGGTCAGGTTTGACTGGTCGGACTTTGAGATTCGTGTGCGTCGCGAATGTAATGAGGATCTGCTCATTATGTTGCAGGAATTGGATAATGCATGGCAGGCTGAAGCGAATGCACAGGATGAAGCTTCTTCCTCCGGAGCGGTCTTTAAGATTAGAGTGATGCTTCATGTGGGGACTTCCTGATTGTACTTTCTTCTCGTTTGGTATCTGTCTACCTTTCTTACATATTGGGGTTGGGTTGGTTTGCATGTTCATCTGTCTGGGTAGGGTTATTGTTTACAATTGGGCATAGTTGAGGAAAGCTCTTGTATTCACAGTATGGTAGAGCTAGGCTAGGCTTTAGTAAACTTTTACAATTCCTGTCATGTAGGCCTTGAATCTAGAACCTGAGTTAAGAGGCCGGTCCAAATCCCGTATAGAGATAGTATCAAACCCCGTGTAGGGCTTGATTGTGGCAACTACTACTCGAAAGTAGAAATGATAAACCGCCTTGCAGTATAGGCTCTAGGCAAAGATAGAGAACTTTTTCATCCCGTCGTGGGTACAATTGTGAACTTGGTATGATTTGATCCCACCACTACTACTCCGTACTTACTGAATATAACTTACCCCAGAGTTACTTACGTACTAATTTCAGTGTCACCAGGTGCTTCATGGTATTGGTGGGGATGAATTTTCCGGTAGCACATTGTTGTCACATGTTATTGTCCTTTCTACAGGGCATAGTAGTATGAATAGATTAGTGGCAAGAAAAGAGGGCTTAGTCTGGAAGCGGGTAGGCAACAATGTGCAGAGCGTAAGGATGGTGTGGTGACCAGTTTCAGTTTCTTACTTTGTATAAAGTTCCAGCTACTTCTCTAGTTGCATGAAGTGCACGGCAGTAGTGTAGGATAGCTAAGTCCAGCACGAACCACGGGCTGACGATCGGCCACGGTCCATGGTACAGCGAAGCACATCGCCTGGGGAAAAAGGAAAAAGGAAAAGGTCGGAGAATTAACGGCAGGCTTTTGACGTCAATTCCCTCCCTTCCTTAATTTCTTTTTTGACTAAATAAGTAAGTATTTGCAAATGCCGAGGCATCTCCGATCCTTTCTGAAGGATTGGGGGGTTTACGTGGACAGTGTACACCGACTGCATTGTCGGCAATGACATGTAGAACCATTCGCATCATCTTCAGCATCATTATTGGCGGCGTTGTAACAGATGCCATGCTAGAAACGAAATAGGCCAGCATTGCCGTAGAGCTTGGCTGTCTTGATTCGGTAGGATATGGGGCGAGCCATGATAACCCCGTCGAGTAAAAAGATCCATTAGCAGACGAAAGCACGAAGCGCATTTGGAATCGCGCGCCGACTAGACCACCTGTTATCCGTAAAACTTGGAATCAAAGTCAATAGCGTCCGCGTTTACCTTTCCACCATCGGGCTTGTCACTGTCGGGAATAATCGCCGGCAATCAATGGTGGAAGGAAAGTAGTGCTTAGATGTTTCTCTGGAGTCTGGAGGTGACAGTGAGCAGCATTGGCTTTGGCCTTTCTTAATCCGCCAGAGTGCGTTGCTGGAAGTCAGATGCTCGAAGCTATGCGCAGGAAAAGAAACACTAACTGCGCGACGCACAATAATATTAATGATCTTGGAACGATTCCCCACCAGCCCTGACTCGTAATATGAGACGCAGATCATTTAATTATTCCCTGTAGGTGATCACACACTTGCCTTCGCGCTGTTCCCGTCTGGCCGTGTCGTGATTGCTTTTCGGGGTTTAGGAATGATACGTTCGCCTTGTTGTGGTGGCGAGTGATCGTCTGTTTATTCTGGACCTTTCATGTTCCGAAGGGATTCGTGTCTTCTTCGATTCTTCCTGCAGTCCCCATCTCATTGTGCGACCCCCTCCCTCTTTGTTCCTCCACCAACCCCCCTAGCCTCTAAGCCTCTTAGGCGGTTAGGCCTGCTGCTACCCACTTAAGCGGCGGGACTATGATCGGACGGTGTCCCTGAAGAACGGAAAACGTCCCACAACGCGCGCTTGGCAGGGGAGGAGATGAAGAATTAATTTGTCGGCTCTGGTCGGGTCTCCCGAGGACTCTAAATTTCCCACTACTGTACGAGGGAATAACCCAGCGGGAACATCCACCGTGCTGGCGAAATTTCTAGACGCAGCGCTAGCGGAGTTCGTTCGGCATACGCTTGGGTTCGTAAGAGAATGAGAGAGACTTTCACTTGTGCTTCCGGTCGTCCAGCGTTATCCGCGGTAATTGTGTTTCTCGGCCTCCGGGAAGTCAAGAGTGACGATGATAACGAAGGATGAAGCTTGACTGTAGTTAATGAGGAGTTTGCCAAGGGCTAACGCTGGATTATTGCCATTGGAAAGAATAGTGTGTTTGGAGGGGTTATCTGAGGCCAGTTATAGTCAGTAAGTGCAATGCATTCGCCATCTGGGCACTCTGTGGTGAGTTCTAGGTTTTTTCTTCGAGGATTAGAAGACCATTCTAGCCGTCAGACGAGAGGAGGTGAGATTGGGTATCAGCAACAAATAGCATCATCATCATCATCATCATCACTATTTCCGACTTCTTGGGAGTGTCAAAAAAGGGCACCTGTCTCAGTCGGGGACGATAGTGGACAGTGTAGTGCCGCCACGGTCAAGCCATGACAGTCTTAAGGGTATGACTATGAATTATTAGCTCGTTCTTTATCTATCTATCTAGCTTTGAGTTGAGTGTATGACGAGATTCCTGAAGGAGGAGGAGAAGTGGACTGAAACTGGGCCTGGGACTGAAGTTGATCTGAGCGAGAGCAGGTGATTCTGATAAATGGTTTTAATCCCGGAAAAGGATCATCCTGTGCTCCTCCTGCTCCTCCTTCTTCTCCTCCTCTTCCTCTTCTTCACTTACTTTCTTCCCAATCTTCCTTCCGCTTCCTCCTTTTCTTCCTCCCCTTTTAACACCTCCTGTGGAATTTAACTCAAACCTTTCGGTGACTTCTTGCCGTCGGTAAAATACTACATCTGATTAACTGCCATCGAGCTCCCTTTTGGTCCCTTACTTGGTGATCCTCTTTCTGCTTCCCCTCCCCCTTTTCCTCCCCGCATTCTTCGATTTTGTTCGCGCTCGGGTGCGGGGTGTCAACACAGCCAGCAGTCCACAGATCGCATCGAGGCTACTTGAAGTGAAAAGTACCACAGAGTGGTCCTATCTTGGTTTCAATCTCTTTACTTTATCATTCTCCTCCCACAATGGCCGACGAACAGAGCAAAAAGCCGGCCGTCCTGATCGTTGGTGGTTTAGGTATGCATCACCCCTCCCCTCCCTCTTCCCAATATCCAGATTATTCTAGCTAACATACTAATTTCCATCTTATAGGATTTATCGGTCGCCATCTCGCTCTTTACCTGCATGAAAATAACTTGGCTTCGGAGGTTCGACTAGTTGATAAAGTCCTGCCTCAGCTGGCCTGGTTGGCCCCTGAGTTCCAGGAAGCTTGCTCAAAAGATAAATTCGTCCAGGCTGATGCCAGCCGTGAACGTGAGTGCAATACAACTTTTTTTATGTCATATGCGACCACGTCAATAGTCTTACTGACTTGCGCCTCGAAACTCAGAGCACTTCCCTCGTATCTTTGACCGTGCCAATGGCGAACAATTTGATTATGTGATCAACTGTGGAGGTGAAACCAGGCATTCGCAACCCGATGACGTCTACGAAGTCCGCAGTTACGCCCTCACAGTCGCCTTGGGTCGCGAAGTCGCCCGCCGAGGTATCCGCTCTTTCGTTGAGTGCTCAACCGCTCACGTCTACAAAGGCGGCTCGAGTCCGCGTAAGGAAGATGATAAACTGCAGCCGTGGCACAAGCTGGCCAAGTGGAAGATGAAGGCCAGCGAGGAGCTGCAAAAAATCCCCGGTCTCAATTATTGCTTGCTTCGTCTGCCCCACGTCTACGGAGAATACGACTCGGGCTACTTCGCAATGGGAATATGCCTTGCTCGCGTTCACCTGGAGCTCGAGAAGGATCTGGAGCTTCTTTATACTAAGGATCTGAAGATCAACACCGTATATGTCAGGGACGCAGCCAGCGCCTTGTGGAAAGCGGCTGAGTGGAGAGCAAACGCCCCCACGGACGGTTCAGCGCCCCTTGCATTCAACGTGGTCGACCACGGCGATACTCGCCAGGAAGATATCGCAAAGGCTCTCTCTGAAGTTTTCAAGCTCAAGTGTGACTTCTTGGGCTCTTTAGCTTCCCAATTCGCGAAGCTGAACCTTGATGATGTTGTGGATGACATGAACGAGGAATGCTTACAGGGATGGGCTGACTTGCTCGAAGAGAAGAAGATCGAACGGCCTGGACCCATTGGCCCATTCCTGGAGAAGGATGTACTGAAGGACCAAGACATGTGTCTGGATGGGACGCTATTCGAGACGACCACTGGATGGAAGCCATCCCGAGAGCGCTTCGACGCCGATGCCGTACGAGACATGGTTGAAAGTTACAAGCGAATGGGCTGGTGGCCATAGACGACCCCACACGTGATATTCCTGTTTTCATGTTCCCGACCCGGCCTCTACACGAGCATAACAGCGAGGTTGATGACGCATATGAGAGCTATTCCTACTCCCACCGTGCATGACCACGCATTGCCCTCTCAGAACACACCAACTCGACCTTATCCTCGGGCAAAAAGCACATAGACCTGTCGCATCCGCATCCACTCATCTCAAGTTCGCATGTTGTATACCACGGACCGTTTCTGCATGTAATCTGTAATATTCTGTTTGGGTCTCTGGGTTTCCGTTCTTGAGCAACTGGTATGTTCTATATCCTTCTTGCATTTATACATTCTTCTGTCACTGGCTGGGGCTGGATGGTGTGCCCTTTTGATTATGAACATCATGCACATCTTAGACTACTTATATCTTTCTTCTTTTATTTGTTGCACTACATACACTACGGATAGGTTGAGCCTTGTCCTTGAATGTTAACCTCAGGCCGCCATCCTTCATGGCCGTCTTTTACCATCATTTACATAATCCAGCTTGTCTCAATCTGCGTACTTTGGATACATGCCCACTCACTCCCCTCTCACCCTTTACTCCAATAAATCCCTTCAAAATTCTGCTCCACTTCCACGATGCATGACAGAACTCTTGATGTCAGCTATAAGTGTGGTATGCCGATCGCTAGCGCCCAGAACCCCTCAATTTTGAAAATTTGGCGTTCAGAAACAGGAATATAGCGTGTCATCATATATCTACTCCGTACCATATCCTTCTTGCATCACATGATTTGCAACAGGCCACTTTAGTAGCATGGTAACTATGTAGCAGTTCTGATTTAGACTAAGCTTGTTCGCTGACTATCATACTATCACACTGGCTAGCTCCGGACGAACCTGTAAACACTGCCACTGCAGCATACAAACACGAATGATTTGATTATAGGAATACTAGTATGAATCTCAAAATGTTTAAAACCAAGCTAAGAATTACACCAATCATGACGCGGTTTTGGTTGTCATTTCCTACAAAGATTACTAATAAGCACTAAGCTATCAAGCGAGTTATAGACTCGTGATTTCATGTTACCACTGTATAACGTTCAGATGCCTTATGTGAATCTGTATATATTGATGATATATTGATAGATGTATCGAGTTTCCCGGATGTATAACTCTTTTTCTTTTTCTTTATTCTTCTTATCTTCATCTGTAGGGTCAATGGAGGGCTAAAACTTGAAACGAAGGGGGAGAAATGTCCAAGACGTAGCGAGAACCAAGACCAGAGGTGGGCAAGCAAACTGGTGATGCTGAAGATAAGCCCTCTTGCATGTTCATCGTAATGAATCGAGACAGTAGATTGAAGCGGGGTGTACAGCGACAAGAAGGCAGGGGTGGCTTTTGGGAGAGAGATGTGGCAAGCAAGGAAAAAGAGAAAAAAAAGTTAGAGAAAGAACAATAATATAAGGCTCCAAGAATGCATTATGCGTAAGACAATCCGTTTTACCACCGGTGTAAGCAAAGAATATAGTAGAGGAAAATAAAACAAGGAAACACTCTGCATCCGGAGTCAGGCTCAATGGACCGAGCGGGAAGGATTCGCAAAATCAAGGTGCGACGCGGTCGAGGGAATCTTAGAATTCCCAATCCTCGTCGACCGACTTGATGGCCCATTCGAACTTCTCCCGGAGGGACTTGGAGAAGAACTTCTCAATAGGAACATCAAACTTCTTGCTGAAAACCACAGTAAGACGAGGGTCGATGTAGTTCTATGTGGTGTTAGTCGATCAAGAACCATCAGCCATAGCAAGGTACAGAAACTTACGATCTTCGAGGTTCCTAGAGCGACCTCCTTGTTCTCTTCCTTATCCTGAGCTTGAAGCTCCATCGTTTCAATGCGCTGCTCGAGCTTGGTGATCGCTGCCTCGAGCTTATCAACCGTCGGGGACTTGCCTTCGGCTTCCACCTTTCCGGTCTTGTTCTCCTTGTTAAATTTCTTCTCCATATCTTTTGCTGCCTGGAGACGGCTCTCCAGCTCAGTGGCCTTCATTTCCTTCTCCCCTTCGGCAGCGAGCTTCTCATTGTCCTTTTCGAACTTCTTCTGGATTTTCTGACGCTGCTCTTCCACAAGGTAGGCCTGGTGCTCCTTCACCCATTCCATGTCCATGTCTTCGTCCATCTCGAAGTACTTGGCACCTTTCTTCTTCTTCAAACTAGGCTCGAGATCCAGCATCTGTTGCTTCAGACGCCATCTTTGGTACCGTAGTCCCTTGATCTAAAGATTTTGCGAATAATTATTAGCAATGCGCCCCAACTAACTTCACCACTGGTCAACATACCCTTTCACTCATCTTCTCCATCTGATTTGCATGGGATGCAGCGACAGTTCGCTTATGGTTACAAAGAATGGCAACCCTGCGGTTGGCGTCATTGTACGCCTTCACCTTCTCTGCAATGTTACCCGTCGCCTTCATGTCCTTGAGCAGCGTGGACATAGTGTGGGAAGCGTTGTAGGTACGGAACACCTTTGCAGTCAATCCTTGCATGTAGGCCGACAAGTGTTTGTTGAGGGCGGAGGTCTAAGTGCGTCCATTAGCGGTGCAATCCAAGAGCTAGTCGAAGTACATACCGTCAGTCTATCGAAGATTTCGTCGCCCTCCTTCTTGGGCGCTTTCTTGAAGATCTTCAAGTTCTTGAAAACCTGGGTGTCGACCTCGACTTCATCATAGAAGCGGATACTGTCCTTACCCAAGAAATCAAAGACAACCTTGTTTGGAGGCTTGAGAGTAACGTTCTCATACTTGAGAGAGCAGCATCCCACAGTCTCAGCTTCGTCTTCACCCTTCTCGTTACCAGCACGAAGAGCAAACTGGTCAATAAGGTATACTGCCGTCGCCTTTTGCCGCTCGACCATCAGCTCGTGCTTGAGGTTCTTCTGATAATCTTTGCGGATCCGATCAATGTGATGCTTCAATTCACGAGCCTTCTCGAACTTCTTGTAATCACTCTGACCCTTCACATCAGAATTGGCCGCAAGCATGACATACTTGTAGTTTCCATTGATGTTTTCCTGCCACATTGCAAGCCAGGTGCCTTCTTGATCGTGCTTGACCTCTTTCCACTTGTGGCCCTCCGGAGGAGGCGGAACAGGCGCATCTTTGCCGATATTGATGGTGATCTGTTCCGGCTGCACACGAGACTTCACACGGCCAGTTTTGGGATGCTCACCACGTCCACGGAAGAGAGCTGGCGGTTCCACTCGGAAGTTGCCCACTTTCTGCTTCCGTCCGTCCCACATACAATACATGTAAGGGGCCTCTTGAGCGTCCTTTTCAGCCTTCAAACGCTTCTTCTCAGCCGGCGGCAAAGCCTTTTTCTCTTGCCGTTGATTGTCGTAGTAGGCAAAGATTGGCTGAAAGTCGCACTTGTGAAAATCTTTGATGTCCACTTTATTGCCCTTGGGATCCTTTGCGCCACCAGTCTTCTTAAGGATATCTCGGAAATCCATGAAGAAGTTCTTCTGGAAGGTGGGGTTCTCAACATGCTGAGTCGCATTGAGCATGCCGCCGAAGAAGCCAGCCACCTCTTCAGCATCAGGATGAAGAGTGACGGGGACGCCATCATACTTCATCTTGACGTTCTTGGGAAGTGGCTCGTACGGAGGAGGGAAAACCACGCCGTTGTGTTCAAGGGTCGTCCACTTGATCGTGCCATCACCCTTGGTTGGGTCTTCCCACCATCTGTACTCTTCTTCCTCGGCGTCTTCAGCCTCCTCGCTTTCTTCCTTTTTGACAGGGGTCGACTTGGCGCTAGAGGCAGCCCGCTTCACATGCGAAGGCAACGCAGCCTTCTCACTGGCCTTGGTTGGCTTGGCCGTCTTCTTGACGGTCGAAGGCTTCACGTCCTCGGGCTCTTTTTTCACGCCATTGGCCTGTCTCTTGGTTGCTGTGGCCTTCGTAGTCTTCGGGGGGGCTTGCTTGCGGGTCGCTTTCGCATCCTTCTCTGCCTTCTGCTGTATCTTCTTCTTCTGCGAGGCGAGTTTTCTTTCGATGGGCACATCGGAATCGGATTCTTCACCTATAGCCGTTTCCGACGCCTTGGGAAGCTTTCTTCCATTAAGCGCCAGAGGTACGTCATCGTCCGTTTCGGGGTCCTCGTGCTTCACGGAAGTGCGGCGTCGCTTGCTCTGTCGACTGGTCAGCCGCTGGAACGAACAGCGACAGCAATAGCGTCGCGAGAGTAGGGGGAACGAAGGAACTGGCGTGGAGGTAATCGGCGTACCAAAGGTTGATCATCCTCACTGCTCTCAGGTTCGGCGTAAGACTTTCTCTGACCGACGCTTGAGCGCGACTTCCGCTTGGGAACGGCGGCAGCGTCGGCATCGGCCATGTCCACATCATTTTCGGCCTGAACGGGACCAAAGCGGATGGATACGCCTGGATCAACATGGCCATTTGTCTCCGTCGCGTCGCGCATTTTCGAATCCGTGTGGGAACCTTAAACACAAGAGAAAGTGTAAGACTTATCGCATTCATGAGGGGTCAAGGAGATCAATGCGCAAAAAGAGGTGATTGAGTCGCGAATCTGACCCCAAACAAAGGGAAGTGATGGGTAACTGAGGCGTGAAAGAGAGGCGGGAAAGGGTCATGTGAGAGCAAAGAAAGAAGAGTAACACTCACTGGTACGGCGACCATTTGCCTTGACTAGCGGGGTATCGTCTTCCGAAGAGCTCATGGTTGCCAGGCGATTGATGGAAAAAGCGCGTGGGCCCAAGGAGCGAGTAGACAGGCAAAACCGGGGTGGGAGAGCGCAGGGGCGCGCGCGAGAGAGGGCGAAATTGCGGATCGGAGCTGGCGCTTGAAGGAGTGATGAAAGCAACGGCAGCCTGGCCAATGGGAAGGCTGATGGCAACGAGAAAGCGTCTACTAAAAGGGAGAGACAGACATAGACCGAATAGGGAAAGACGGAAGGAAAACGAGAAACCGGAGAGGGGAGGGTGGAAAGAGACTCGAGCGGGAGGAGCGGAGAGGAGAAGAAGCTGAAGGGGGGAGAGGGGAAGAAGAGAGAAAAGAGACAGCAGAGCCAAAGATGACGAGAGGGAAAAGGAAAGGGAAGGGAAGAGAGAAGAGAGAGAGAGAGAGAGGAAAGAGAGGAAGAAGAGAAGGAATGGAATGGAAAACGAGGCCGTCTTTTGGGGCCTGAGGCGATCTTCACGTTTCTCCGGACCGTCAGCCACTCGCCGTGCGAGGAGGCTGGCAGCCTGAGGTGCCAAGGCTGCCGGGTCTGGAAGTTTGTATGGAAATTATGACGACTCCATTTCAATTCCGGGCGCCTCGGTGCCTGCATGCCTGAGTGGCGCTGCTGACTCAGCCGACGTAAGCCTGCGCGCAGCCAGGTCACCTGATATGCCCGGCAACTTGAGAGCTGCCAGTTTAGGATTAGCGCCGTGCACGCCCGGCCGGGCTGCATGGCTGGTCGCTGTGGACACCCGGACACCCGGACCACCAGCCATTTCACCACCAGACTACCCGTTTGGGTCTAGCGCGGTTGGGTCCCGTGCTGCCGGCTGTCGGAAGAACAGAAACAGGAGTCCAACTTCAACCACCGACTTCTCAACCGCCAGCCTACGAGGATTCCTCTACCCTCTCCCTCCTCCCCCTCTCCCCACACTATCCCCTCTACGATTGTTTATCGTTGGTCTCTTCGACCGTACGGCTTCTTTGCAATATGTTCTCCCGTGCTGTTCGTCCGGCTGTGAGGGCTGGTAGCATTGCGGTCTCCCGGTAAGTTCTTCTTCTCTTCCGGAATGTCCACAACACCCGCCCGTCCGTCGCCTTTTCGTTTCCCTCCCACACCCCAGCTAGGCTGTTCCCAGCTCGCTCCCACCCCCCAAACCACCAAACCTTTAAGCTTTAGGAAAACGAGGAGATGGAGCTACAGGCAGACCAATCGAGTGGTTCAATGGCTGATTTTTTCGAAGCACTGCTCCTCCCAATGCCGCCAACTTCGCGACTCTGCGTGAAATCGAGGGCCGTCTCAAGTCCATCAAGAACATCGAGAAGATCACCAACACCATGAAGGTCATCGCCTCCACCCGTCTTACTCGCGCCCAGAAGGCCATGGAGGACTCTCGCACCTACGGTCAGACCTCCAACACCGTTTTCGAGAACGCCGAGACCAAGCCTCTCGAGGACAAGAAGACTCTGCTCGTCGTCGCCAGCTCCGACAAGGGTCTTTGCGGTGGTATCCACTCCGGTCTCAGCAAGGCTACTCGTCGCATGCTCCAGCAGCACCCCGATGCCGACATCGTCGTCCTCGGTGAGAAGGCCAAGGCTCAGCTGTCTCGTACCAACCCCAACGCCATCGTCCTGAGCTTCGCCAACGTCTGCAAGGACATCCCCACCTTCAATGACGCTCAGTCCATCGCCGACCAGATCTCTCAGCTGCCCACCGACTACGCCAGCGTCAAGATCATCTACAACCAGTTCATCAACGCCCAGTCCTACGAGGCCGGTACCGTTGAGGCTTACTCTGAGGAGGCTATCACCCAGTCTCGTGAGTTATATCAGATGTAATGTGTTTTGCGCGTATCGGGACTGAACTCTCTGCTCTAGCCAACCTCTCTACTTTCGAGACTGATGACCAGACTCTGGCCCACCTCCGCGAATACGCCCTTGCCAACAACCTCTTCTGGGCTATGGCTGAGGGTCACGCTTGCGAAATCTCCGTAAGTTCTTCCGCTTAAAATAACATTTCATTTGGAATAACAAGCTAATGTGATTACAGGCTCGTCGTAACGCCATGGAGGCAAGTATCATTCAGATGTTCGAAATTAACCCAGACTAACCATGTTCTACAGAACGCCTCCAAGAACGCTGGTGAGATGATCAACAAGTAAGTCTCAAAGTTCACCCGATTTCACTGATCAAGGCTAATACCATGCAGGTTCCAGATCTTGTACAACCGTCAGCGTCAAGCCGCCATTACCGGTGAACTGGTTGAGATTATCACTGGTGCCACCGCCAGTGCGGACATGTAAAAGCTTCCATGAAGCTTGTGTGGGGAGGAGTCGCCATGTGTGTAGACTTACTCATAAATACCTAGATGCTTGTCAGCCTGTAAAATCTATCACTATCTTTTCTTTGTCATTGTCTTTTTGTGTTCTCATGACCAATTGGTAGCGTGGAGGGAATGCCGCTGTCATTACACAATATAGGCGGGAATATCAAACGGGAACTTCCCGTCACTTCACGTTTGCATTCACAGGCTGAACTTCACGTATTCGGGGGAAGTCCCTTCCATTCACTGCTTGCCTTGACAGATGTGTCCGGACCTGTCAACAATCCCCCTCTCGGCGTTTGTTTCCTTCTCTTCCTGCACCTACTCGCAACGCCCATCACTTTCCCCTCACGCCTACGCCATCTTGTATCTCTCATACTGCACATCGTCACATCTACTTCAAACTTTAGGAATCAAGTCATTTCATCAAGATGTATTCCGCTACACGCGTGACCAATTACTACTCGATTCTGGGGATTTCTCACAACTCGTCTCTAAAGGACATCAACAGCGCGTACAAGAAGCTCGCACTGAAGCATCATCCGGACAAGCAAGGCACCGGCAGTGCAGATGTCTCCAACGACGAGTTCCAGAAGGTGAGTGAATAAAAGGAAAGATTATATGAACCTCACAATTGACTCCCTCACTCATCTTGTCCGATAATCATCATCACCATACAATCTTCTAAGCAATAAAGCAAGCTGAACCTCACATTATCTCAGATCCAAGAAGCCATCGAGACCCTCCGCGATCCCATCCGGAAGCAAGAGCACGACGATACACTCCGTCGAGCTGGCTACTACTTCCACTCCACCCCGTTTGGCTCTGACGACGAGTACGAAGACTGGCCAGAAGGATCTTGGAGACCTATGAGCTGGAAGCGCTACGAGGATTTCAAAGACCCCATGGATCTGTACAGATACAAGTACGGCAATAGTGTTCATATGGACCCGTTCGCTCCTGAGTCTCTGGTTGAGAAAGCTCGTGTGGAGATTGAGATTAGAGTAGGTGAGCAGTTGGAGAGGGAAGCTGCTGCGGCGGCGGCGGCGGCGGCGGCGGCAGCACGGGCTGCGGCTGCGGATGGTATGGGAAGTGAGAATGAAGACGATGATGGTGAGGAAGATGAAGGGGTTGATGACGGTGGCATTTTGTTTAACAAACCTCAGCATTTTCAGGATATCCTGGAGTATCTTCGCAATCAGGAAGCTGAGGGTATTGAGAAGAGAAGAAAGGCCATGAGGGCTAATGTTGAAAAGGATGAGGAGAGGCTGAAGAATGGGGAGGAAGATGAGCTCGACCATGACGAGAAAGAGTTTGCTCGTGGCTACGGTAATGAACATTGCTGGAGATCTAAGGAGGCTGGGTCCGATGTTTCCAGAGAGTGGCACGAGAGCTTTTATTACAACGAAGAAGAGGCCGTCTACTACGGTGGCGACGAGGATGAAGGCGAGGATGAAGGCGATGATGAAGGCGATGATGAAGGCGATGAAGAAGACGAAGAGGAAGACGAGGAGGGGGATGACGACGATGAAGATGACGATGACAACCGCCGTGGAGAGAACCAGAATGATGATCCTGAGAATGAGGACGAAGACGACGAGCAGCCCCAAGGCCCAGGAGCAGGAGCACCTACTCAGCACCATGACAATTTTTATGATGCGGATCGCTACGAAGACGATGGATACTATCATTCCGATGAGGAAGATGATCTATACGGAGATGGCGGCAATAACAATGGAGCAGACATCTACTTTTTCAGCTTTTCTCACACTACGAGCGAGCAGCCTGCCTCGAACTTCTCCGAGAGCACCGAGTACGTGACTGCCGAATGTGCTAGAGAATCGGACGCTGAATCTGTCATGGATGAAGCTGGCGGTGTCTGTCTCACTGATTCTATGAGCAATTTGCCCCTGCCTACCGACTCGAACATCTTCTCTCCCGCCATCAACCCTCCTTCTTTCCCCTCTGTCACGCCCTTCCTCCCCTCCCCCGCCATCAAAGCCAACGCCACCACTAGCATCGACAATGGCGACCCGCTCCTCTTCCACTTCTGCTCTAAACTCAACGGCCCAGCCAACAGCTACACCAGCCAGGACTTCCTTTTCGAGCTAACTGGCATGGTCTTCGACGTGTACTGCGGTTGGTTGGAAGGTGTCCGCCTCACCTTCCCGGGGGCGAAGCCGCTCAGCAAGGAGAAGCAAGATGCCCCGGCTTGTCTCCATCTGGGCGGCTGGAAGAAGAGTTTTGGCCGGGACAAGTGTGACGGGTGCCAGCTTCGGCAGCCGCTTTTTATGCTCACTTGCCCGGGATGCGGGATTGAGAAGTGCGGGGGGTGCAGGTTGACCTCTGCCGCTGCTGCTGCGGGTAAGGGGGAGGGGGGAGGGGATTTGCTGAGGGGATGGGATGTTAGTGCGCTGGGCTGGTAGGAGCCGGTTGTTTTTCTTTTCATTTCCTTTAATTTTCTCTCAAAGGAGGTGAAGATCGTGGTCTGGTCTACGTTTCATTTGATATTACTTGAGACTTTGTTATTTTTTTGACGCTTTGTTTCAGTTCGTTTACTATTCATGAAAACCTAATCTAGTGAGCTTAAGTATGCAATGCAGTATTCCTCAGTGATAATTGAACAATCACCTCATCTATCAAACCTAAATATAACAAGCTCACGATCGCGGTTCTGCCCTATTATATAGTCCTCCGTCCCACAAACCTTCCCCATCCCAATGAACTCCGTTACCATGCTCCCTGGCAAGACAATTGCCGGTTCAGGAGCGTACTCAGGTGAGGCAACAGCGAGAAACAGAGCCATTTCAATCGGCCATTCCTGTTTCTCATAGTAAAGACAATAACCCGTCTGCGACTGCTCATCATACGACTCACAAACAATAGAATGCCACGGTTCATCGCAGATCGCAAACGTAATAGGTTTAGTCTGCAAGCTACAGTTCCCTCGATACGGTGGCAAGGCAAAGTCAGCGCGTTGTCGCCGGCGCGGACCCTCACCGACGATGGGGATAGTCGTCACCCACACCTCAGACTCCCATGCATCAGGAATAAGAACCTGCGGTGAACGGCCCGCGCACGTACCCTCGAGGATTTCTATGGACTGATCGTCGTCGGTGATGCTGAGGGATTGTATCATTGGGAGACCTCGCTGACGGATGCCGTAGAAATCTAGTTCTCTGAACCCGAGGCGAGTGATGATGGTTGGTCCGAGGTCTTCTTCTCCTCCTTCTCCTCCTGCGGACTCGAATCGCAAGCGACCTGTCGGGTCTAGGGAAGGTCGGTAATCCGAGGGTTTGGAAATGTCCCATACGGAGAGGGACTCGATGGGGGCGTCCTCGTCTGCGGTGTAGAGGCTGCGGTTGGGTTGCCAGATGTAGATGGCATAATGGGTGCTGGTATGGGTGGAGTAGAACCGATCTCGCTCGCTGAGAGGATGGCCGAGGAACATGATCTTCCATTCGTTTCGGAAGTTGACGCTCCAGCCATCTTCCTTACGGTTTACGTCGAAGGAGGTCGCGAAGTGTCGGTGGACACCATCGCTGTCGTTGAGCCAGTGGTAGGGTATGTATTCTGCCCATTCGATGATGAGGACTCGTTTCTGCAGACGGACTCGGCGGATTATTCGCCCGACGATGATGAATGGGACCATGAATTTCCTGTCGGTTTCCATGTCCATTAGGACGAGACATGAATGCTCTGCACTTGGGAATACTAGGAGCCCGTCGTCGTAGGTCCAGAAGGTCTCGCCGAATGATCGGTCGACGCGCTGCATGAGATGGCTGGCGTGGTGTTCCCATGGCGGGACGGAGAACCAGTTCTTCTGGCCTGTGATGCCGAAGTCATTGCTGAGCTTGAACTTGTGCATTGTTCGGTACGTTAGTCGACTTAGATAGTCGTATTTGGCTGTGACATGGTCGAAGATCTTGGATATGTGAGTGTCGTATTCTGGTGATTCGAGTGTTTCTGCGCTTTCAGAGGCTAGCTGTCGCACTTCTCTGGCTAAGGGGTATCGTTTCTTTAGCATTGGAAGCAGGTTGGCGCCAATGCGAAAGGCTTCATTCCAGGACTTGCAGACTCGTCGGCAACGGAGGACATCGCCCGGGTCGAGACGCTTCAGTATAAGCCAGAAGATCTCCCGGGGCAGGAGGGCCATGCCCTTGCCTTCAGATGGGGATGCATTGGACATGGTCGTTATGTTTTTTTTGAGAATTGGTAAGGCGGGGAAAGTGCCTGGGGGGATTCCGAGCACTAAAGAAAAGAGACCCTCCATTAATAGCAGATGGTAACTAATTAGTCTAGTCCAAGACTGTCTAACTCTTAAGTAGATAATAGTATGGGCTCCGCATAAACAAAGGATCTTATGGGCCCGGAGCTACGGAGCTTTGTGCTCATCGAGGCTTTTTGCCCCGAAGACAGAACAGGATTGCCGATGGCCATGGAAAATGTCAGAATATTTGACTGAATTATGGATTGGAATGACTGATTGATTTGACGGCGGGGAACATCGAACGGACGGATCCGCCGCCATTCCAAATCCATACAATTAATTCAATATTACTTTCTTAAGACATTTCGCGTCACATGCCAAGAGCTTCAGGACACCTTGCTTCTATCTACTTCTTTCTGTCCTCTCTTCTCCCTTTTTCTTCTCCTCAAACTCATCCCCGCTGGGTGATGCTTTAGCTACTACTCCTGAATTCCCTCTCGCTTCTTCCTCGCCCGCAATCATGCTGCAGCCCAGCTCTGCATTGCTTTTCGTCACGTCGCTTCTGGCGGCGTTGCCTGTCAACGCTGATGGATTGTATACGAAGAAATCCCCCGTCTTGCAGGTCAACCAGAAGAACTACGACCAGCTGATTGCAAACTCCAACCATACTTCGGTGAGTCCAGCTGCGCAGAGTATCATCAATTGCCTACAAACCAGTCTAACAAAGCTCTCTTAGATCGTAGAGTAAGCCATCTACCACCCTACCCACCTACCTCCCACAATCCTAAACCTCCCCGCTCTCCTCCAGATTCTACGCTCCCTGGTGCGGCCACTGCCAGAACCTGAAACCCGCATACGAAAAAGCCGCAACCAACCTTGACGGCCTGGCCAAAGTCGCAGCCGTCAATTGCGACGATGACGACAACAAACCCTTCTGCGGCCGCATGGGCGTCCAGGGCTTCCCTACCCTCAAGATTGTCACCCCCGGCAAGAAACCTGGCAAGCCCCGCGTGGAGGACTACAAGGGCGCGCGGAGCGCCAAAGCGATCGTCGAAGCAGTCGTCGACCGAATCCCCAACCACGTGAAGCGCGCAACAGACAAGGACCTGAACACCTGGCTCGCGCAGGACGAAGAGTCGCCCAAGGCCATCCTCTTCACGGAGAAAGGCACCACCAGCCCTC